GACGGGAGAGACCCCCTTTCGACTAACGTACGGCACCGAGGCTGTCATCCCGGTGGAAATCAGGGAACCCTCCAGACGGACAGAAAATCCCCTCGACGAAGAAATGAACGACGAGGAACTCAGGGACGAACTCGACTTAGTCGAGGAAATCCGATCGGGGGAGGCCCTACGCGAAGCCACCCTAAAACAACGAGTGGCTCTGCGCCACAACGACAAGGTCATCAAACGCGAGTTCGAAATCGGCAGCCTAGTGTTACGAAGGAACCAGAAAGACGCCCGCGAAGGGAAATTGGCAGCGAACTGGGAAGGGCCTTACCGCGTCCACGACACCACTGGTACCGGGGCATATTACCTCGAGCAACTGGACGAAGAACCACTACCACGACCCTAGAACGCTGCTAAACTAAAGCAGTACTATAGTTAAAAACCATTAATACCGAGGACCCTCGCCGATGACACCCGCGTCCAGCCAACAAGGAAACACGTCCGACTCCGTAGAAAGGCCAAGGTACAGGCCCGACCTACGCCCAAACAGCATAACGTCGTTCAACAGACGAGTATGAACGATAGTGCCCGACGTGGACACCTCAACCGAGCTCCACCATCGAAGTACCTGCAGGGCAGAACACCCAGCTCGCGATGGGTAGTTCACGCTGCGGATGAACAACCCCGATCCGGGTCATGCGCCCGAACAAGCGGCTTCGCTCCGCACACCCGATGAATCTCGAAGAACGTCGGGCCATCCAAGGGTCGAAAAAAGAAATCTCTCCTCGAGGTCACCACTTAGGCGAATTTGGCCACCGACTAGAAAGCCGAGCACGACACGACTCGAACAAAAGAGTTAGGCAAATGTGCCAACGAAATCACAACCACGCACGGGCAAGACTCGGGGCCATAACTTAGGCCAGTTTCAGCACAAAAATGTTAAAACATAAACACAGGCAAACAATCAAAAGTCGAAACAAACATTCATTCGAAAAGCCCGTGGGCAACAAAACAAATAGATATAAACCGACCAAGAAGGTCGGCGATGTTCAAGAGTTACAAAGAACGGGCACGCAGGCCCAAAAAGTAAAATATGAACGGGCACGCAGGCCCCAAAATAAACATCAATAAAGGCACGCAGGCCTACTGGAATCTCACAGCTAGACTTCCCCGGAGCTATCACCACCGACAACAAGAGACTCGGGCGGGGGCACGACCTGGCCGTCGATGATCTGAGACATGTAACCCGCTCCTTCAGTATTTAGATTGGGATTCAGCAGGGCGAGCTGGTTAACCGCGGCCTCAAAGCTATCCGCCAGAGCACCGATGCAATCCGCCTCGAGGAGTTGGATGCGAGCAACCAGTTCCGACCGACTTCACAAAGGAGCCGTCTCCTCCGACTCATCCTCGGCAGGGAGCATGGCAGCCTTTAGTTCCTCGACCTCTTTGGCGAGCCGCCCGTTGTCAGCCTCCAAGCGCTCCCGGTCCTCACGAAAGTACTCCCTCTCCTCGGCAATCTTCCCCGAGTTCTCTTTCTCCGCCGCCAGCAGCTCGGCTTGCTCGCGGAACATCTCCTCGGAGCGCTCCAGGGAAGCCTTCAACTTCCGTGAACTCGAAGTAAGGGCAGCTTTCTCCTGTTCCAGCTCCTTGATACGATCAGAATCTGCCCCCTCCTCGGATAACACAATGGCCATCTCGGCCATCTTGACCAGCCCGACCATGTTGGCGGCCAAATGCCTCCTCCGACTCTCCTTGCTCAGCCGCCTAATGGTATCAGCTTCATCAGCACTCACGGACAAGGGAAATCCCTCGAAGAAACCCTCCTCTTTAAAACAAGGGGGCAACCCGAAGGACCTCACCGCACTAGAGTCCTCGCCGACCTCCGGTTGGCTCTCCACCTGATTCCTCTTCCTTGGTATCAGGTCGGTATATGGCTCGACATCCTGAGCATCCGGGGACCCTCCAGAAGCAGCGCCCGGGCTAGTTGGCGGGCCCATCCTCGTCGCCTGAGGAGCTCGCACCACTCTCTTGTTAACCTTCTTATCATGTGTCAGCTTCAGGAGCCTCTCCTTTCGTCCGAACATCAAACCTGCATAAAAGGATCCCGGGTTAGAGACGAGCAAATAAACAAGCGAATAAAATCAAACAAAACGAAAAAAGTAAAAGACCTAGCAGGTTCTTGGCCTTCCCGAAGGACTGGCATTCCACGAGCGCCTTCGTATTGATAGGCCGAGCCTCAAAGGTCGGATAACCATCTTCATCAAGAATATCCTTCCCCTCCCTCGTGGCCCATCGGGCGGGGAAGAAACTATCGACATATCGACAGAGGATACCATAAGCCTCCTCGTCTTTGGTGCTCATCTCACCCACGGACGTATGGTAGTACCCGGTGCCGTGCTCGTAGTGACGCGAGGTCCAATGCAAAGGAAATTTGGCCACGCGCCCTAACACCAGACGTCCCTCGTCGTCCAGAAGAGCCTCCCCGTGATCGTCGGTCACGACCGTTTCTTCCTCGTATACCGATTCTAAACCCGTTTTGGTAACCGGCCGCACGATGTACCACTTGTCCTTGAAGCCCCGGACAGAATCCATGTACATCCTGAACAGTTTCTTCGACTGTTTCAGGGAAACCCAATTGTGCCTGCCTCCCCGAGACTGGCGCTGTAAATGGAAGACACAGAAGAAGAGAGGTATGGTCGCCCCAATCTTTAAGAAGCGACACGTTAGTTCGAACGCCCGGAGGAAAGCTGTCGAGTTAGGGTGAAGCTGTGACAGGGCCAATTCCAGATGGCTAAAAACCCCGACCTGAAAATCGCTGAAGAGGAGCTGTAATCCCAGGTCCTTGAAAGAAATCTCATACATGGGGAACCCGTACTCAGGGAATTCCGAGCAAATCCGCGCAGTAAGAGTCAGCCGGGTGGCAACGAAATTCTTTTGAAAACCGGGCTGGCTACCGCCCTTCTCGATGATGGTATACGCACTTCGACTGCGTCGACTATAGGCTGAAGCAATCCCTCTGGGCTCGGCGCCCACCCATTCCAGCAAAGGGTCGTCGATGGTATCGACCAAATTCACATTCTCCTCAGCACTTTGGTCTTCCACCTCAGTGCGCCCCGAGGAACACGGTTCGTCCGCCATGGTTACCTACAAAGCACAGGAAACCGGTCAATTGGGGAGCAAATCCACACGCTCGCCATAACGGACGAGATGAAGGGCGCGACAAGCCATATCACTCCACGCGCGACTAAAAAAGTTGGTGTTTCGAAACAAAAAGAGAAGTCACCTCCCCGACTCCCAGATACCACGACAAGTCTCCTTACAGATCGCCTAAGTGGGCCAACATCTCGACCACTCACGAATCTGTCGACCTAGGCTATGAACGTGGCGAGCGATATCATAAATCCCAAAACTAGAGCTATGAGTTTACCGGGCACTACCAAGAATTAGGCGCCCTGAATCATGAAGATCCCGGGCAGCACTGCGAGTCAAATACCTAAACTATGCATTTACCAGGCGCAAACATGCGTTCTCCGGGCATAAACATGGATTTGTCGAGCTAAATACAAAAATACCGGGGCTAATCCCAGGCGTACAGTCTCTAACGTCTAAAAACAATGAAAAATGTCATGCATCACAGAGGAAAAGCAAAGGGGACAAGACGCTTACTTGGAATCAGGAAAGAGGTGCGACGGCGGAAAAGGGAATCAGCGACGGAGATCACGGCGGTCCTATGAATATCTGGGAAGAACAGCAGCAGCAGAGGCAGAGGAAAGAGGAGAAGCGCGAAGAGGAAAAACACGTTCTGGGGCCCAATGACCCTATTTATAGTGATGACGTGGAATACGAAACGTCACCCCAGGGAACCACAGAACTTCCCTCCTCGACGCGTAGCTCCCCTAGGCAATGATGACCCTATCGTCAGTAGGGTGGCGGCACGGTTCCCAAGAGATGCCTCGTGTGCTCAACGAACACAGCCCGTCGAGATTCCCCCGAGCACTCCTCGAAAGGAATTATCTCACGAGCCCGACACATTGGAAACTCCTCGAGCAAACAACGGGGAACTACATCTCTTATTCGGGCACGGGACCCCGTGGCGGAGGCGATCTAAGATCAAGTCATGGCTCCTACTCCAGGAACCACGACTTGGGGGGCTCCTGTTCTGGACTGGGTCGGGCTGACCCAAAAGCAAGGATGAAGGTCCAATCCAAACGGCCATGCAGGGGGTCGCGCCAACCAAGAAGCCATAGCCGTGCCCGACACTCTCCGCTGGTACGACATCCTCGACTTCATGCATTCCAGCTCGACCTCAGCTCGAGCGCCCCTCGTAGGGCAGACTCTGACCACTACACCATCACCTGGATCCCGAAAAGACTGCGTCCTCGTCCGTCCGTACTTCTCGCAGAACATCCAGGAAGGAGACCACGTGCGGGTCCCCACTACACATGTAGAACCTGGCAGTTCCTTCATTTGGGTCAAACCTGCCCGGCCCAATGGAGGGACCTTGACCCAGCGCTGGGGGCTATAAATACCCTCTGTTCCCAGAGGGTCAGGTATTCATTCTCTTACCCATACTCATACTTTTTGCCTGCTCGTACTCCCACTTACTTTAGCATCGGAGTGCCTTGCAGGTACCCCCATCTCGTTCAACTTCAGTTCGGAGTCAGTCGTGACGGTCTAAGTCTGATCAGGTAAGATCACTTGGAATACAAATTTTCTGGATTTTCCTTAATATGCAACGTTCATGTATATGCTCTTTTGATTAAAATACCTCAACTCCGAAACTGTATTAAATATAAGGATAATATTTCCATCTATATATGCTATATCACTCGTATAACAATACCTCACACTCAAACAATACCATTACCTAAGTAGCAATTAACAAACCTTCCTATAATCACACTATTAATATTATTGGCCTCTTGCTAGTTGCAGGGCCAGTAAATTTCCTATGAAAAAGTACTTATATAAATAATATACATAATAGTTTATCTAACTAGCTAAATATTCCATGATCAACATAAATCATGAGCTGTCTGAATCCGATTATTCGGCGGCTTCCCAATTTGCAGACAATCAATTGGCGGAACAGTTGTAGTTTTCAGTTCACCGTAAGTCTCCCAACAGAACGGATCATACATATGGTATTTGTCTTGAACAGGTTGTAATTCCACACTTGTTAAAGAAACATCGACACAAGGCAAGCTATCGCTACACGCAAAGTGAACTGGTTTAACTGTGTATGTTCCCTTTATACTTTCGTAGTTGATTCCCGTGAGTGCCACGGCTGCTGTTTGGTTTTTGCAGTTTCTTTTGTCGCAGTAGAATTGGTCGATTATGATCGGGAATTGAACTTCGGAAACTTGTATGTTTGAGAATAGTACTCCTTGTACTGAACCTGATCCACCCTGCATAAATGATTGTGAAGTCAAATTTCCTGATCAACTTAGACAGGACCGTCTTTGAGGATGTGCAAGGTAGACTACCACACATAGTTCAAAATTTGTCACGATTAAACACTTGCTAAATAGGTCTTATAAAATGTTTGTCACGCTTAAACTGTGTTTTATAATGGTTAGACTGCGACAAATCTAAATAAGAACAAATATTTTGTCTTATAAAACTTACGAATATTTTTTTACCTGCCATGTTTTGATTCTGACTCCATTCATTGTATTATGCATGTTAACATCTCTGATAGTAATGTTTGAGACACAGGCTCTGGTATTATCCTTTCCTAGACCTCCAATGCTGATTCCATGCCCTGGTCCACAGTTGACATTGTGTACATATACATTTGAGCATCCAGTTTGTATGGAAATACAGTCATCTCCTGCATAACAGTCAAATTTCAAAACAACAATTAGCGACTCGGACTATTTATGCTTATATTGGTTTTTCTTTTGCATTTTCATTCAGAGGTTCTGTTTTCTACACTCTCTGGTCTTATTTATAAGAAAAAGTTTTTTTTTTAGATTCATTGAATAATCAATGTATACACCAAATAGAAATGTAGAATAATTTATCCATGATTGAAATTTTACCGCAAGCTAAATTGCTTTTGTATATCAAAACATCTCTGGAGTTCTGCAAGTGAATTCCATCAGTGTTAGGGCTGTCACCAGGGGACGTTACAGTCACATCATGAACCAAAACTCCATTACAGTTATCAAACTTGAGATGGCATTGTGGACTATTTTGAATTGTTATGCCTGTGACTGTTGGATTAATACTCCCATAGAACCTTATTGCCTGTAACAGAAGCAAAATTACTTACATTATGTTCTGAAATCTTCTAAAAATAAATCAAATAGGTGTTTAAAATGTTACTCACAGTTGGTTTGATTCCTGGCATTTTTCCTTCTAGTGAACTTTCAATCTATTACAAACGCAAAGGTATAAACAATTAGCCTCAATCTATCTTAACATGTCCATGATTTTCTATGTAGCATATTGAAGACGTATTTCAATGTCAGACACGTGTCAATGACCAACACCAACACGACACTAATATATCTAATTACATTCAATCACTTTTATTTTCTTAAACTATTACAGGTGTCTGTGTCTGCATGTCAGTTTAAGAATTACCTGCACTGGCGGGGTTCTAAGTGTGTTATTCAAAGGGACTAAGAGTTTTTCTTCATCATCTAAAGGATCATTATATTGAGTGTCTTGCCACCAAACAGAGCCTCTTCCATCAATGATGCCATTTCCTTGAATGGTAAATCCTACTAGTTTTATAAAATCCAACCATTGCAGTAGTCCATTGCCCCAAACATTAGGATTTGTTGGTGCAATAATTGTTCCTTCCACCTAAAAAAAATTAACCTTATTAGCCTACAACTGAATTGTCTGTTTCTACAATATTCATTACCTAAAGAGACACAGAGTCACATGTAGAACAAGTGCATGTGTTTTGACATGTAAAAGTAAAAAGAGTAAATATATAACTTTTCAAATAAAAAATGTTACCTGGAAAATGATTTTGGGTTTACAGTATAGGCCTGAGAATACAATTGGCCCCACTAAGAAGACATAATCGGCTGGAATTAACATGGTTGATGACTCTACTTTACATGCTTCAGCCCACGTGGCTTCAAATCCCTGCATTTTTTTCAACCAAAATAAATCATACGAGTCCAGAGAAGAGCGAGTGCAAGACAGACTACTGATAATCCAAAATTTTTAACGGTTAAATCGTAAATAAATAGAATTTCATAAAAAAATTGTCACCTTTAATCTAATAGAACTTGTGATTATTTATCACGATTGAAATGTGGTTAATTTACTTATCGCCCAGTAAAGAGAATAGATTAGTGTTGGAATTGTGACTCTAACTGTCTTAACGAGAATCATTTATCAGGTAGGTTCCACCTTTTTTTGGTTTGTTATAGTTATTGTATTTTTCTCATACTTAGCTTTCAATCAATGTCATTGTAAACTTTATTTAACGACATATTATTACAAAGACGAGAGTTGTATTCAAAGCATAAAACAGAAAAAATAATTAATTATTCTCCTAATTACATATTAATAATTTAATTACCTTTGTATCATCACTTTTTCCATCTCCTTTAGCTCCAAAATCTAGCACATTGAAAGTGGTAGAGGATGCACCAATGTAAGTTTGTGGTGGTGGAGTTAAGTGTGTAACTTCTTCTTGTGGTGCTGGTGGCGGTGGTGGTAAGGGTGAGGGAATGGTTTTTTGTGGTGGCGGCGGCGGCAGTGAGATTGAGGGAATGCTTTTTTGTGGTGGAGAAGCCTTAGATTTTGTTCCTCCACCTCCACCATTATGGTTATGTCCATTGCCATAACTCTTTCCTTTCTTCTTAAACATAGAAGCTCTCTCCTCTCTATTTTGTCTCCAATGTTTTCCTCTTCTTGCATTACACTCTTCAAAATTTGAAGCCAAAATAATAAATGCAATAAGAATCATATATGTGAAATTCTTAAAGCTCAAACAACACATTTTTTAATACTTTTTATATAGAAATATGAGAGAAGGAGATAAGAGAAAATTTGAGAGAATTGTTTGTGTAGTGTTGCTAAAAGAATAAGTGACGGTTATGTGTTTATATAGGGAGAGAAATTATTATTTTTGAAGAGTGATAATAATTGTTTAAGCTAAAACAATAAAATATTCTTGATAATGCCAAGCATTAATGTATTCATTCTTTTTCATCTTTTATTAATTAGTTTGTTTTTTAATTTTTACTTTTTGTGAATTTTGGTTAGAATTTTATTTAGTGAAAAAAAGTGGGGTTGCTATTCTTTTGTTGCCACATATCAAAAGTGATTACATGTGACCAAACCAAAAGACAGTTGGGGGCTACTATATATTTTATTTATAATAGTTTTTTTGTTTATTTTTGTTTATTTTACCATATAGTTCCAAATTTATTTTTAATTGCCTTATTGGTTGAAGGCCGAAGCCAAATCTATCTGCTGTCTTTTCCAACTTTCTTTTCTTCTCCTAGCAGGATTTCAAAGTGTGGTATGCTATACAATATCAATTGGGATCCGAATATTTTGTGATTCCTGCAACATTATTGGGATAGTAGCTACATTTTTATAAGAAAAAAAATCACATGCTAGCATAAGGTTATATTTAATGGTAAATTGAGTTTTCTATCAATTTTTATTAGTCATTTTTTAGAGCAAATATTAGTACTTAAATTTTCATAAAGAGGACAAAAATACATAAACAGTATGAGAAGTGGAAAAGGCAGCAACTGAAACAACAAAATGCTGGAAAAATCAAGGGTCAAGGGGTCATTACTAGATTGTAATTTCCTCTATCATCTACTTTGAAATTTCAAATTTTGGGTAACTTCATCGGAGAACATTACAGTCATAATAGTCATTACAGTTATATTGTAATCTCCTAGTTTGAGTTATTGACTTTACTTTTTTGTGCAATTTTCAACATTTTTTTTAATCTTTTTTGGTTCAGCTCTTATCCACTTTTTTATTTTTTATTTTATAATCACTTATATTATAAGTATAAGGGGTGCAATTCAATACTAAGAGAAAAGAGTAAAAAAATCAATCCATCAACTAAAAGAAAAACTATAAACCGACATATAAGCCGAGAGAAACCAACCAAACGTCCAAAACAAAGTCGGCACGACCTTTGGACAAAATAGTTAACCAATCTCACCCAAAATTCTTGATAAAGACCAACACCTCACCAACATTTCACACCCAACTATCAAAAACAACCTTATTTCTACCTTGCCACACACACCAGTCAACCAACCACCAAACAAAAGGGACAAAAGGAGGAGAAATAAAGATTGAAAAAGATGTCAAAAATTCTCAAAAAAATTAAAATCGAGAACCAAATTCGCTCCCAACCAATAGAAAACATCCTTCCACAAAGAAATCACCTTAAAGCACCCGACAAAAAGGTGATCCAAAGATTCCACCTCTAAACCACACAACGAACAATACATATCGCTTAAAGGTAAATGAATACCTCTAAGACTCAATTCAAATTGAATCGGTAAGGCGTTAGACAAAAGCCTCCAACCAAACAACTTAACCTTACAAGGCACAAAGGATTTACAAACCCGATGGATTTCGAATAACTTCCTTTCATCCACCAACCCAATTAACAGATTGAACAAAGGCGTAATCCTCAAATAACTATTCTTCACCGAAAAACCATCAACATTCCTCCACCACACAACTTTATCTGCAATCCCCACGTGAGGTGTTACATACACCAACAAAGAAGATAAATCATTCCACTCCGAAGCTAATCCCCCACCAAAAGACTCACCTCCACCCGCAAATCGCAAAACCAACAATCATCCACCCAAACACCCATTTCGGATACAGAAGGAGAACAAGAGTATGAATGGTAAGACATATCATACAATAAAGGAAAAAGTACCCTAAGAGGAGTAGAACCCAACCAAGCATCATCCCAAAAGGCAAAAGCAACTACATCCCCCAATTTTCACGAGATACTGTTAGAGAAATACAATTGATCATTGATAAGAAGACCACAAACCACCCTCACATCCTTCCATTAAAAAGAAAACTTTGATAAGCAACGCTTAGAAACATCCCCCACTAAAGCTGACAACCCCCATACCTGGAGAAAAGGAGCTTGGCCCAAACCGCGTCACTCTACTTCAGAAATCTCCACCCCCACTTACTAATCAACGAAAGGTTAAAAAACTTAATGTTCTTAACCCCTAAACTACATTTATCAAGTGGACGACAAATCTTCTTCCAACTAACCCAACACATCTTACGCCTTCCATCATTACCACCCCACAAAAAATCCCACTGGATCTTGATAATCTCCTTATAAATACACTTTGGAACTTCAAAAAATGAAATCCTGAAAATCAAAATGTTATTAAGCACTGAATTCAGCAAAGTGACTTTACCACCCAAAGACAAAGGTTTGCCCAATCAACCATTTAACCTTTTCTTCAACTTAGCTAACACTCCAGACCAAGTCTCCCTCCTCCTATAGTTAGCTCCTAATGGAATACCAAGAAATAAGAAAGGCAACTTTCCCACCTATCAATTCAGAAAAGAGGACGTCGCATTCAAAATATGGACGTCCAAATGGATACCAAACAACTTTCTTTTGTTCAAATTAATGCACAAACTCAACACCAATTTGAACCCACGCAACATAGTTTTGATACATCAAAGATTAACCCACAATCCATCACAAATAAGGATTGTATCATCAACAAAGTGTAACATCTCAAAACCAAGTTCCTCCGCCACCTGAAACCCCCTAAAACTCCCCTCACCACTGCATTTCTCATCAAACCAGCCAAACCCTTAGCCACCTAAAGAAACAGGAACGGTGATAAAGGATCCCCTTGTCGCAATCCCCTTGAAGCATTAAAATCAGAAGTGGGACTACCATTAACCAGAATTGAAATTGAACTCAAGAAAACTGTGGCATCTATTGAAGGATAGAAAAACATAATAAAGGGGGTTTGAATTAGGATTTTCAAAAAATTATAGTTATAAAACATGTTTGGTTATTCTGGTTCGTTTGAACTCAAACTACTCCAGTCCATCCGTCAATGTGATTTCGCCTCTCTCAATCGATGTCTTAATCCACTAATCAAAGTTGATTACACAAATCACGAAGACAATTGTCAACGTCTTCTTGAGATCTAACCATAACTTGGTTTCTCAAGGAAATACACTTTTAAACAAAATATATTTTGTGTTTACAAATTCTCCTAATAAGCTATATCACAACTGTGATGTTTACACAAAATTATAGAACTGAAAGTAATCAAGAGATAAATGTATGAGAGAGTTTTTGACTGCTCTTGTTTTGTATGTGTGTATTGTTCTTTTCATCTTTCATATACCTCTTTATATAGGCAGATTCATAAAACCGTTGGAGACATAATATTCTGATTTTGGAAGGTCGTTGATTTGAGATTTGATTTTCTTTCCAAAAATACAAATCTTGTTCCAGCCATAAAGTTCCAGTCGTTACTTTATAAATGCCATTAATGTGATTTCGGATCTACACTGTCTCAGAGTATCTTGAGCTTGATTTCTTGTAATCAGAACTTTGAATATGATAAATACGTTTGAAGCTTCTTTGTTCTTTCAGAACTTTATATATCAGAGTATAACCTGTAGCTTGGTGCTTCGAAATATTTAACATCAACACTTCTATTTTCAGGCATGTTACTTGGATTTTCTTCTGAGCTTGTACGCATATGCCTTTCAGAGCTTCATAGCGGAATTCAGTCATCATCTTCTATGCTTTTTTCATCAGAACTTCTTTGTACATCCAATCAAATTATTAGAGAGCATAATTTCTCTTCACAATAATCATGTAATTGTTATCATCAAAACTAATACATAGATGTAGAACCAAACTATGTTCTAACAATCTCCCCTTTTTTGATGATAACAAAACTTACATATTTTGATGAACAATTTTGTAATTTAAAAGAAATTAATTCATTGTAAAAGGATTTTATCAAAGTCTCCCCCTGGATTGAATATTCATATACAATAGAATTGAATAATAGGTAAAAAATTCCCTGGAGATGTTTGATTCAGAGCATATGATGGAAGATCTAAGAAGCCTATTTTGAAGGCTAATAAAGCATACCACAAGTTTAGAGTGATACTTCCCTGTCAGCTTTCAGAAATATTAAAACATAAGTTACGTTATTTGAAATGTTTGAGACTTAGTCTAGGACTATTTGCATCAAAATATATTCACTTTCTCCCCCCTTTTGTCATAAATCAAAAAGCAATAAAGAACATAAATTAGAACAAAAAAGTATGCATTTAAAAACAGATACAAAACAACCAGAGGATAAGCAAGAAAGAAAACATAAATGAAACATAACAAGAGAAATAAAAGATGAGATATAAGGTTATGAAGGTGGAAGACGTGTGAACAATGCTTTCATAAGACCTTTAATCTGATTGTTGGATTCTTCTTGTTTGTGCATCAATCCTTTAATCTCCTTGTTGATTTCATCTTGTTTATCCAAACTTTCCTTAACCGCTTCACTCTCTTTCTTCAATTCATCCAAAGTTTTCAGCATAAGAGAAGGTGGACCCATGTCTTCAGCAGGGACCATTTCTTCAACATTCATACTAGCAGAAGATTCTTCAACAGATTTTCCTTTGTCTTGAAAGATGATCATAGGATGAGGTTCAGGAGAGGATTTCCCAAAGGAGCAACTTTTAATTATACAACAACCTGAGATTTCTTTGAGCCGACTCATAAAATATAAATTTTCAAAAATACCAATTCTTGAAGACTTTTCATGCTACTTTGTCCACCATATCATCTAGCAACATTTCCAACAGTTTTGACATCATTGAAACATTTATTGAAGGAACCTTGCCCTCACAATTTGTAAATATTTATAATTATTAGTGATATTTGTAAAATATTTATAATTATTATACATATTAAATTTATCAGGTTGGTAATTTGGTAAA